AAAATGTGGGTACTTCTGGGTACTTCTTGGCCTGTACAATATTCAGGACTTCATTTTGCTGGCGTGAGGTCCACATTTGGAAGATTTCAACATATATTCCAAAAAATCTTGAATATTCATGACCTGGTTGTGGGTCACTGAACACTTTGTGATGGAAAGACTAAATGAAACCGTGAAAATAAATGTTTCTAAGTGGAAACTTCGCTCTTAAGCCATTGCAAAGTGGAGAAATCATGTCAAATAACGAAATAATGTAATTTTTTTACTTTTACTGGAAAGCGAGTGAGAAAAAAGCCGACGAGAAAACGACCTTATTTCAAGATGGAATCTGCTATGACTGCGATATTGCGTGATGCTTCTGGAAAAATGCATCATGGGATACTATTCCATCCTCCTCTGGGTTGGTTAGTTGTCACTCGAAGCCAGCTTTTCCTACCATTGTTTTTATTGACTCCCATCGGACTTGCCTTGAACCAGCATTTACTGGAGTCTTTGCTGTGATTTATGCCGAGGTAGTAGGGTGCTTCGACGGTCTGCATTGAGCTAGGTCTTTTCTCAGCGTAGAATTTGTAGACAAAAACTGGGTCTTCTTCGGGTGGGCCGTCCGGCCTAGCGAAAGCTTTAAGTTTAACTGGTCTAATGTTCCGAGGCTCTTCACCACTTCTTGTTTTGGTTCGATGCTCACAGTATTCTAAATATTCGGTCCCGTCGGCATCCCTCAGAAGTTTCACATCTGACCAGCACATTTGATGATAATCATCACAGCCTCTCAATCCAAAATGGATTGAATTCATCAGCCAGACCGTGTTGATTAAAGCCTCGGCACTCGAGATTCCCAGTATGTTACTCTCGTAAAGAACGCTTACTTCATCATCCCTGATAGCCTCGGCTGCAAATGGTCTGTTTCCCCTGCCTTCTTTTTTCAGGAGTTTGCAACGAGCATCCAGGGCCTTCCTTGTTTGCTCAAACTCTCGATCTTCGACGATGTTCTTTGAATACTTCACGTCTTTCAAGTGACGATTGAAGCTCGCTTTAAACCCTCTGAGGCTTGACGTTTCATAATCGCCGCAATCTTTTCTTTTCACAGTAACTATAAACTCACTCAGAAAGTCATTGAGTTCATGTGGTTGTACCTCTTCTATTTTTCTGTTTTCTTGCTTGGATTTCGGAAACTGGGAGAGCAAGCCAGCATCTCGTCTAGTTTTCAACAACGTTTGTTTGTTTTTCTGTTCCTCGATAACCTGGTTAATGGATTTCTGGAAAGCCAAGGCTTTCTCCTTCAGCCATCATTTAGCTTCTTCTGGCAATCTTCATGCGATATTATCCAAACCGAAAATCTAAACGTTTTGACTTTTTTGACAAAGTTGCCAGAATAAAACCTTTAATGAAAACACAAAGCTACCGCAAAGCGAAAACGCGGTTCTCTTTGGTGGGTGCGCTTTGATTGGTCAAAACATTCTACTAACACCTGAAAAAGCCGTTTCGCTTTTCTGATTGGTTGAATAAAGGCGCGAACCATGTTTTCACTCAGGTTGACTCAAACAGAATCACTCAGTATGTATGAAATAAATCCATATACGTATCTCTTAGATGTTTCAACTGCTAGTTTGTACCCGCTTTGATTTGTTCCCCATGCCACCTTTGATGTCCAGTTCAGCGTAGTTTAGTGTCATGACGTTGTGTACGACTAAAATTCCGTAGCATCACTTTACGCACTAAAATCCAAATCAAGTTGTTTTAGGAGAAAACAATATGAAAAGTAGAAAGCTGATTTTTAACTGGGAAGAATTATTTCTGCCGCTGTTGTAGCTTAATTCACATGTTACAAACTACAACGAACCGTCCACCATCTTTGACATTAACTGGAGTGCGCATTTTTAAGCAGCGGTTGGCCACCATACGCAAACATCGTATCAGGACAGGAGGGAGTCATAAACTCGTCAGCGCTGCTGTACAATGTGTCTGGCCATCGTGACGTCACAGCAAAGTGAAGAGTGCGCCGAGAAGATTTTCGTGTTGTCATTTTCAAAACCTTTTTTTGCCATTTGGAAAGCGCCAAGATGAGTTTCATTTGATCAAGAACGTTCTTCATGTTATTTGCCAACTGCAGAGATACGTGGATTTTCATAATTGCTTCAAAATCTCCGAAAAAAGCTTTTTGAATGTTCATAGCGAATCTTCTCCCTTCGCATTTTGTGTATGGGCGAAACCTTATGTTGCATGCAAATTTTGCCGATATTTCTTGTTGGAAAGCATGGGACATTTTGTAACTTGATCCTAGAATAGTTCTTGTCGAACAAAATGTGTATAGCGTGTAGTTAATATCGATGAACGCCTCATAAAAATAATCAGTCGATCTATTTTTCGTGCTCGGTATCAAACATCAGTGCATGTAGAAGAACTTGAAATATATTTATCTTACTAATTCAGTACCAGCAGTCAAAATTGTTTTTCCTTTATAGCTTTCAGCGAACTTTAAAGCTGCTTAGGCTTCTTTGCAGAAGGTATGTCGTCTGTCATTCCGATTCTGCGTTTCGAAGTTTCATTTGGCCAAGTGGAAAAGTCATCCTTCCATTAGAAGTGTGTCGGTATAAATAGGTCCAGAGAACCATTTAACTTATATGAAAGCTTCCTTGTCCACGGAGGACAAGAGATTCAAGAAGTGTATCCATAGCTGGAGTTGTACAATCGAAGTGTGTTCTTTCCGGTGTTATTTGTGGTATGAAAGGATGATAAATGGATTCTAGAAAAGTGTCCAAAAAACAGGAATTTGCAATTTGACCAGAGCCATATGTGTATGATTGGACGATATTGGAAGATGGTGAAGAGGGATTTAGATGTAACTTTTTTTTTGGCAAGGATTAACTTTGCAGAGGACTTGCAGTTTCCCGCAGCCTTGGCATTTTCGTTTGGGTGTCCCCTGATCTTTCTTCCAAAACATATCAAAATCTTTGTGTTCCATTGCATTTTCACTTCTACAGGATGCTAGTGTCGTCAAGATAGTTGACTGAGCCTGTGCTCTTAGATGGTCAAGGTGTGTGTTCCAGGTGGGCATTTTTCCAGCCTGTGCTTCACTCCAGAAACCTTTCAATTGAATAAGAAGATCTTGTATGAACTGCTCGTCCCTTTTTACCAGAAAAATCACTGTTTTTCTTGGTGTCCCACAAACAAAGTGACATTTTTCTGTGTTAATAGAGTGCATTTCAAGTTGATATTGGGGAACATACAACACTAGGACTTTTCTATAGGGAAGAGGATTTCCTCCCATATAAGGACACTTAATTTCCACAACCGTATCACTGTCGACTATGCCATCTGGACAGACACCAGGCCAAGCGGCCCCATTCGATCCCTTGTTACCCACAGTCCTGTCTTTTCAAATTTTTTACATGGCATTCCATTGATATAAGTAGCAACTGCATGGTCTTCGCACATTGATCCCCATCTCATGGCTTCATTTATTAGCGTTGTTTCAGTTTCTTTTGTGGAATCATTGGCAGGCCTCAATTGTTTTGCATAAAGAACCATTTTTTCTCTTCCTCTCCAGCCTAGAGGAAGGATAGGTTATGTTATCAAAATTTGTTTCTAAGGCCAGGATATTTTTTAGCCCAAAAGCCATTGCTATACTGTTATTCATGGTGTAATACTAGCATATGTTATATCCCTGATTAAAGAAACTTTGTCGCTAAGAAGTGTAAACCATGAACGATTAAGCTTTTATGAGTATATTTTCATTACCACAGCAAATTCAAAGTTCTTTCAACAGAAGTTTACATTGTCATGAGATGCTTGTGCAGATTCAGATTCCTAGAGCACTTTAATGCATGCCTCTGTCTTTTTTGCCCTCCAAAAAAGCTTTTATGTCTCATCTTATGATTTTCAAATGTGCATGAGCGATATGGCTATGCTCTTTTACTGTACACAGCTCTTATGTCTCCAGCACAGGTGAAGTTTCACAGTGAAAACTGGAAACCGTGTGACATTTATTGGAATCCATCGTCGTGAAAAGGTTCGATAATGTAAACATTTGTCAAGAGAACTTTAAATTTGCAATGCTAAGTCTACCCATAAATCCATTAGGTCATATAGTTCATGGTTTATGCGGTACTTTTTAAGCGACACCGTTTTTTCATTCAGCTGTATTTTAAGGTTATTTACCTAATGCAACTGCAGCTTTACTTCCATTCACTTTTCCTTTCGTTACTTTTTTCCATTCCTCCGTCCCTTGTTCAAACAATCGCTCATCATTCACTTTGTTAGTACCTTTGGCTTGAACTTGCACTAATGTAGGGTTGTCTTGCAATGTTACCTCATGTAAACGAAGCAGTTGTATTGCCAGAGGGTCACTGGTGTCTCCCTGTAAAGAAAGGTTATTGAACGTAAGCCCTTATCAGAAAGTGTAAAACCTCTACTTTCTCAAGGAAAGTGGCTTCTTTACTTAAAGGCAGAGATACGAGCACTTTTATAATGTATCATGTAAAACAATGACACATAAATATATTTTTACCTTGCTTTTAGAGTTCTTTGATGTACAAATTTCGGTGTAGATATGGCAGGTTGAGATGATGTATTTTTGCAATCATGTTTTAAGTGGTCAGCCTGACCACAAGCATAGCACTGCTGCTTTGCCAACCAAGCAAGATCATGTGGAATGTTTTTTTATACATCACACTGCCCAATGACCAAGCTCACCACATTTGAAGCGTTAACCAGTTGACTTTACAATTTTTGCCCTTTCTTTAACTTGCTCTTTTTTTTCAAACTGGTGTAGCATTTGACGAATTGCTGATGATTGCTTCTCATTACTGGGATTCAGACCGTCAACTGCAAGAAATGTCACACACCTCCTCTTGCAAATTTTTTTACTAAACAATTTTAAAATTTCTCTGCCTTGATATTTAGCATCGGGATCTTGATAAACATGAGTAAAAAGTTCCTCCCATGCTGCTATTAATTCTTCGTCTTGTGGTACAAAATTTAAGGCATCTGTTAGAATCTTATTGTGCCATTGTTGTGGAACGAAGTACTGTTGCCTCAATTTAAAATTCATTCTCTTCAGGAATTTAAGGGCGCTTTCCATTTGTCAGAACTGACCGGCCAGACCATTCCCGTCGCAATGATAATTTCGCTTTTAATCAAAACTCTCGAAACAGATGAGTCCAATCCTAAATAGTATACACGAAGGAGAACGTTTTTCAGCAAAAACTCTTGGAAAAAGCCTATTATATTTTCAAACTGACTGGTCAGGCAATGGTCCGGCCAGTCAGTTCTGACAAACGGAAAGCACCCTTTGTAGGCACTACTTATTTGCTTTGTCTTGAAGACAACTGACAAATTTGACCGTGTGTCCAATAATAGCACTGGGGGATTTAACAGCTATATGATCAAGAACTTGTCTAGCTTGTCTATATAGCTGTTCCTCATCTTTTTTGGTGTGAAAAGTTTCAATTTCATTCTCATTGACCTTAAGACTTTTGATAACATTAGAGTCAGATCTGGTGATGTCATGGTCTTTTGACTTTTTTCCAGTATTATTCTTTTTTCTTTTCAGAGGTATAGAAACAAAGTTAGGAGTTGCTAGAGTGGCATATGACCCGATGTAAGCTTGATCATATTCTTTCTTTTCAGCTTGTATGAGAAGGCTTGTATTAATACTTGAATTTCCTTTCATATATTGTTGCACTGTTGGTTCCCCACCAGCAATTCTACTTCTTTGAAGACTGAAGCAATTCCCTACGTCATCTTGATTAGTTGTACGAGGAACTATGATGGTATCCCTGTGATTTATTTGGAGGTAAGCTACAAGACCTATTAATTCTCTGATAGAACGGGTGAGGTCATTGTACGTGTGCTTAGAGATGAATTTTATCCAGTGTTCTTTTAAAGCACCTTTGTGATCTTTTTCTTCTTCAAGCAGCTCTGTATACCATCTTTTGAAGAACACAAGTACACTAATGAGTTTGCGTGGCATGTCATCATCAATTAAAATGCTGTTCAAGATTTTAAAATATTCAGCAGCAGGTTCTAGGTTCTTGTCATGAGTGTAGTGGGATGTCCATACTTGCTGTTATACAGTATGTCATCTGCAACTTCC